TAGTTTAGGGCTTATAGTAGGGACATCTTGAAAATTTATGCAGTCAATATTGAAATATAAACTGCTTCAGACTGATTAAGACTGTTTCAGAAATCGTAAATAAAGAATAATATCAGAATGCTGTAAAGTGCACCTAATTATCTACCAAAAACGAGGCACACATACATTGCACACATTTACAAAATTGGTTGCTAAAATGTCAGCACGAGTTTTTCATCTTCATGTTAACATCTAAATAGACTCACTGAAGTTCTAAATGCATGTAATAAGTATTCCCCCTTAGTTTACATAACGGGTGCTGTTTACTAATTCTGTTTACTGATTGTAACGTCTACTGTTGACGCACATTTACAAATGTGTGAAGGCAGAGAGATTCTCTGTTTTAGGAGCTTCTCTTTTACGGAGCTGTCAAGTTGGCAATAAGGCGTCCGTTAACAAAAAGAAAATCTTGCTGTGCGTTGCCATAGCAATCACCGCTGCTAGGCCTCACCTGTGCTAAAAATAGCCAAGCCACCGCGGAGCTCACCATCGGAATCACCACACTTTCTTACACTGTAGCTACAGGACAGCGATTTCAACGCATTCAAAGTGGCAGATTTTGCTTGTATTGCGGATCCGCCTGTCGCCATTTCTCGGCTGCCGTTTCTTCAGCCAAGCACGCCGGATTCAATCGCCACCAGCGTGATGATTTCCATGCTTTATTCAGTACGACAAACTGCATGAGTCAGTCAACCAGCTTCGCTGTACCAAGCGAACTCGGGACGAACTTCCCGCGTTTTTTTTTTGTTTTGTTTTCATCTTGATAGTCTAAAACTGTTCTTTGAAAGTGTCCTCAGGAGCATTATATTGACAATCTGCTTCTAAAGGCACTATAATTGAAGCTTTTCTCCTAAATGGTTTACCCTTTTATTATTCAAGAGTGGCGCAGAGGATTCCTATAGAAAGAAAGAGAAACGACTAACGCATTTGCATATATTTACGTATGAGACAGCGGAGTTAGCCGCGAGCTAATGCTTCCCCTAAGAAACCAATCTGTTTTGTATTCTGACGCATGCATAGGATAAAGCTTCATCTTTACATTCCTTATTTATTTTCCTATGGTACGCTTCCGTACTAGAGTAGCTCAGCCGCTAAGCTAAAAAGTTGTACAGAAAAGCCAATGTTTGCGTTTGAGGGGTTTGCGTTTGGAAAGACATCCATACAAAGCAGCAGAGTACGCCATAATGTGAGGGAGAAGACTTTGCAAAGCAATTCAATAAGGGACGCTATGCCGACGTGTGTCCACTCACTCACTGATGTGCTAGTGATATTTTTTTATCTGTCCACTGGCTGACTTGGCGTCAAGTTGTCCCGCATAGCATAAGCTCTGCAGATGCAGACCCAAGAGAAAATGATCGAGACAACAAGTCCTGGTGTTGTCTTGATCCTCTTTGGTATCCTTGTCTACACACCTACCTTCTTTTATCCTGGACCCTTGCCAAGCAGCCTTACTGTCTGGTGCTTCAAACTCTGCAATCCCACAGTGTCTGTATGACTTGCTTCCGAATCATTGCGGCCCACGAGGAGGGCGAAATTTTTAAATCTTTGTGTTTGCAGATAATAGCATTCCTCGTGATAATGCAAGACATCTCCGACATTTCCTGGACAAGGCTGTTTCCCACGTATTTCACGCCAAAGCGCGCACTCAGGAAAAAAATGTAAAGAAGCACGGGATGAAGTATGCTACAATCAGAATTGCAGCAGTGTTTTTGAACCTCACCGACATTTACAAGACAAGAAAGAAAGCCTAGGTGCCGTGCAAAGAATATCACGGGAGGGCACAACCTGACGATCATATATGGCGCTGTTCAATTTTATCGACCCAGTGTGCTGTCTGTAGATATGAGCCATATTTTTTTTTCATCTAGTTAACACTTGAAGACAAAGTAAAGAAGTGAGGCGCAAATATACACAGGGAGTCTATCAGGATAAAAAAAACAGGTTGGACCAAGTGAGATCTTTATATTGCTGCAAAGAACGCGTTGTTAGTTATCTATGCATTGTTCGATTATATATTTTGATGTCTAACCGACAAAGTATTTTCAGTCACAGTTTGCCTTCGCGGGCGCCAAGCTCAGGGCATAATATTGTTCGATACTCCTGCCCACGCTTACTGCGTGTCATCTGTGCTCGTGTGCTTATTGGTTATGCTAGTGAATTTCAAGGCGGAGCTTCGTGTGCCTTTAGAGTTCAGCGAGAAGCGCTGCTGGATGCTCATGCAGTGCTGTATACAAAGTGAAGCTCTCAAGAGTATCGCAGCTGCGATGCAAAATTCGTGTTCCGGCTCTCGGAGACTGTGTTTTGAGATTTTCAGGCTGCATCACAATCACATATGAATGATTCATTGGAGTGGTTTAGATTCACATGTATTTCTTTGTTTACACAGACTGTTTCGTTACGTTCTCTGGTGCCAAATTCAATAAGCTGTTAATTTGTTAGAACGTTTTGTCGCATCCAGTGAGCTTAGTTATTGCATTCTCCACATTCACGACGCGTCAAGGCCTCTTACCAGCCCCGTTAGCCTATGAACTGAATAGTGGCTGTCAAATTATGTCTTATTGTCATTAGGCTCCACGAGTGTTTCGCCCCTGGCATAACGACCATCCAGTTATCACACAAATGAATTTAACAAATGATTATTCGTGCTGGCTAAAGTTCTTTAACGTTAAAAAAAGAGACTGTGACTACAGGGTGCTGCAAAATTTCTCTTTGAATGCTGAGTGTTTTGCACCCTGTGGCTACACCACCACATGTAACCTTTGTGTCAGGACCAATGTAACCACCTTTTGGAACCACCAATATGACGAATGTGATTTCCCCACATTTACATAAGAAAAAGTGCACATATAATCTCAATGCGCTTCTCCACACAATTTAGGGGAGAAGCACAAACCTGGTAATGCGAATAAGAATGCTTTCTCATAAGTTCGTATCGCTAGTCGAGCCCTTCAAAACACCGCTCTAGTTTTAATGCAATGACATGGAAGAGCTCGTTCCGCAGAAAGTCTGGCACTGGCTTCGTTGGTTGCGAGCGAAAAATCATTATCTTATGCGTGACCGAAAAATCAAGGACGATTCGAATATAAACGATTGCAAAAATCCCGCATCAGAATGGCGGCCTACACGGAGACGTTTGGGTACGAGTGGGGATTGAGCCCCGGTCGCTTGCTTGGCAAATGGATGTTCGACCAAACGGCCACGTGTGTGCTTTTGAATACAGTGAAAAGAACAACCTCTGTTTGGAAATACAGTGCAGGTAGCTCTCATGTTTTACAAACATACGCGTCCTGTATACATGCTTCACATTGCAACAAGAAATACTGCCGTAATATAGAGTCGTACAAGCACCCATTGCCAGCGGGGCTCAGAACATGTGGTTATCATTATATTTTCGTGGTTGAAAAGTGGTACCCCACTACAAAAAGTACACGCTACTGCGCCTCTTCCCTTGAGACAACGAAGGGGGGGGGGGGCATAGCAAATTCGAAAAGGTTTCATGCACTAAGTGTTTGAAATACGTACTAGGCACAAAATATCGCTATCGCGTTCAAATACTACAGGCGAAGCTTTAGGGCCCCGAATTTTTTGTATTCTGCAAATCTGCGCCGGGTCTCATGTCATCACCTTTTCTCCTCGATTCCCCACTCCATCCTCGTTAAGAACAAAAAATTCCGCCATATCCACGAAGTGAATGATGATGAGTGGGCGAAGCTCCGTAGGTAAACCTGGTAAACCATGAATCCTCTGTACATTTTGCCCACTCGATTTTATTACATCGCTCCCCCTAGCGTATGTCGCCGCACTAAATCGAACGATTGCCTTCAACCAATGACACGCGCCATAGGTGACATCATTCCTATTTTATAAGATCTCGCGTCTTTCATCAACTACAAGTACCGCTTTCTAGTTTATAACATCTTGCATCTTTTCATCATCAGCTACAAGTACCACCATCTAGTAAACACTACAAGAACTAAACGAGAGGTGGCTACATACAGGAGACGGTACCGCCATCTAGTGAACACTGCAAGAACTAAACTAGAGGTGGCTACATACAGGGGACGGTACCGCCATCTAGTGAACACTGCAAGAACTAAACTAGAGGTGGCTACATACAGGCTACAGGGGACGCACAGCCCACGCCCTAAGGAGCTTCGCCCCTAAAAAATATTCAGCAAAGTATGAACTGAATATGAAAGATTACAACGCAAAATTGTGTTTGCGGAAAGAAGTCAGCCGTCTTATAACACTCTTCAAAGCTTTATGCACCCCAGTTGCACTCAAGAAGGCTCATCCCTAAGAACCCAGCAAACCCTGTTGTCCCGCACTTACTTAAAGAGATTACGCACTTTCAACAACGGTACCTCAATTCCGTTACACGAGGCAAGTACAAGCCCTCGCAAAAGAGAACGAGCGCGCAAGTGACCCCACAGGGAGCGCGTGCTCCTGCGCCTCTCCAAGCCACGCTCGGTGTGCGAGCGACGTACGCTCCTGGTCCGTCACTCAGCGAAGGTGGCGGCGTGCCCGAGAGAGAGGAAGGTACGCGATCGTCAAGCGGAGCGCGCGGCCGGCAGAAGATAATACACCCAGACAGCAGCACAAGAAGAAGCTGCAGCCGCAGGCGCTGTAGTGGCAAGGCAGCTTTGACTCCGGCGGCGGAAGGCAGGCAGATCGATCGCTTTTCTCGCGCGCTGGCGAAAACCCGCCACCACTGGTGAGGAGCGAGCGATGCATCGCTCGACGACAAGGAGAGCGAGCTTCGGCCATCCTCTTTCCACACTCTTTTTTTTTTCCCCACTTTGTCTCTCTCCAGACGATCCGCGCACGGAGGAGGGTAGAAAGACTGCTGTCGAAGATGAAAAAGGTGACGAAGTGGAGTGCACGGAACGAGAGGGAGATGGAGGAAGAGAGAGAGCGGCATTGGGAAGATAGAAGACGAACGCGCGGCTCTGGATCGGCGGCAAACAGCACCGAGAGGCCCTAGGAAGCGCTCGAGTGCTCGTCGAGATGGCCGACGCGGCAGCGGCAGCAACAGCAACGGCGGGAACAGAGACACGCCGGCACCAGGCCACCGGTGACGACGATCAACAGGAGGAGCACCTGCTGATTCGGCACATGCGACCAGACGAGCTCAAGCAGGCCATGGACATCTGGAAGGAGCAGGGCCTGGAGGAGAGCGAGAACAACGTGAGCACCTTCTACCAGGTCGACCCGGAGGGCTTCTTCGTCACGGTCGACACGAGGACAGGTGAGATGTATCTCCGGCGCTCTCCGCACTGGTCTTAGGAAGAAGCGTCGGAAGGGATGGGTAACCGATGAACCTCGCGTACTACACAGAAGCGAGATGATGGGCGTTTCAATGTGCGTCAAGCACGCGCACGCCGGCACTGGCACGTGTTTGGGGCATCGGTGGTGACTGCCGCCGACTGTGAAAGCCCGGAGTGTTGTCGGCTCGTCGGGCACTTTGTAAAGGGAGTCGCATTCCCGCACTTAATATTTGATGACATCTGCAGCATCCAAGACAATCGTGTTGCGTCGCAAACAGAAAAGCAGCTACTGTCATCATGAAAGGTGTACTCGTATACAACCCAGTTTCATTAATTGCTTCATTTCAATATAAACTTATTAATGATTCCTTAGTGGCGAGATATAAACTCACCATCTATTCCTTCCCATCACACGAGAATGAAGACCCCTTGAAAACATCCGGTTACATTTAATAAAGATATGAAAGAAAAAAAAACGACATTTCTCTTGCACTTCTAACTGACAGTGCTCTCAACGTGCAATGAAGACAGAGCGGCGAGAAACCTTCTGCCAGACGATAGTCGACGGTGAGAATGCACCTCCCGGAGTGCACTTGTGTTTTCGCGGTTATAACGTCATTTACGCCAACACATTGTTTCTCTAACACCTGATGTCACTACATCAATGTCACCAAACATGCGCGATAACTTACGGCTGTAGGTATGAATCAAAGATGAACGCGGAAATAATCGGCGCAATTGTTCTGATAGGAAAAGAATAGTTTTACGTATTACTGAGAATGTGTCATAGTTAACAAGTTTGATACTCCAATTTTATCGCTGCTAGCTTCTCTATGACGCAATTTACCTTTATTATAGACATGACAGAACAAATGATTAGCCTCTCTTACTGAAGTATTATACACACACACACAAATACACACACACATATATACATATAAATATATATATATATATAAAAGCAACACCTCTCGTGTTCCCTGCAGAAGCAATATTATCAGAAGGGGCTTGGGACTACAGGGCACAGATTGAAAATCACGATTATTTGCCCACCACTTGTCTTCTTTTTCAAGTCCGGAAAAACGGGGTGCAACGGATCATTCATCGTGCTATCATCCAGCGTGTTAAAAAGACAGAGAAAAAACAGCGTCTGGCTAGTTAGGGTGACCAATTAGGGAAATTTCATCTGAAATACACTCGAAGCATATTTTTGAGCATGTGGTAATGTTTCCTTATATTGTTTCAAAATATTTTTAAAAACATTTACAATTATTTGTCATTGCCAGTTTTGAAAGCTTGAGTAATTTTCCATACAGCACAAACGATTTTGAGATGTTATGAGCAGAACTTTCAGTTACTATGTGTACATACAAAATCTTGGACGGAACAAGACATTTAGCTATTCATTTTCGGCCTTCAAGTGGGTTCAGTCGAAGCGAATATCTAAATGTAATCGAAAGCACTCTTCAGCAATTTTTCCGTCTCCCAACACAACCCAAAGAGCGCAGCTTTGCTAGCGTAAATCTCCTCTGACTGATTGATGTGCAACTGCTTGTGATACTTTCTTTCTTCCACTATTCTCATCCCTCCTTTCCTTGTGATGTCTCCTCTTTTAGCTGCTATATGTTGAATACTTACAGCTGCAGAACAATGGCGCTGTAAACTGGAAATCATCGCGACAGAAAACGTAGTGGCAAACAAACCGTAGACTTGCTCGGTCAGCCGAATAAACCTCACAGTGGGAGCGGAGGAATCTACGCGCAGCGGATGAGTGATTGTTTCCCACTTCGGTATTGACATTGTGTGTTCGCAGCTCGTTTCCTTCTTGCCGGTTCCGTTTATTCTTCTTCACTTCCTGCACACCGACAATCGATGCGTAGAAAAAGAAAACGTGACAGGAAGAAAAAAGCTGCTATTACCTTCCTAAATCACTTCCTGCTTCCCTGCTTTCTTCTGCTCCCCGAGTTCCTTAGAGAATTTATATGTGTACCTTTCTCTGGCACCGCCGTTGAAAGTGTTACTCAAGCGGCGTGATAGCAACGTTGAAGAGACATTGGGGTCGTCGGAAGCGGACAGGGTGCAAATGAACAAAACAAAAAAGCAAAGAAAATGTACGCCTGTAGGGTTCGGAAGTTGACGCCTCCTGCACATGTGTCAAGGTCACAGTTCCTGTTTCCTTCTGCCACCGGTTTCTAGCGCTCAGAGCAACAGAAGAAGCTAAAATACCATACCGAGGCAGGCACAGCCTCGAATCGGTGCAAATGCACCGTGCTCGGAGCCATTCTCTCGGCGATGGTGTCACATTGTGGACAACCCTGTCCCATCTGTCAGTCAGCACGTGTCGGAAACGCAATTTCACTCCACGAGACGTCCATCAGGGCCACTTGCTGGAGAGGAAACCCCGAGGTTTCATCAGTTGTCATAGTGTCAGTGCTGCCACGAAAAGCTGTGAGGCATTGTGCTTTAAAAGTTCTAGATCATGCCGACTGTCAGATCTTTTTTCCTTAAAATACTCATCTCTTCCTCACGCTTGGCTGAGCCACTAGGAGTAGGATCGCAAATAAAGCATATGTCCGCATAAGCAAAGTAACGGAAACCATTGCGAAGTTTCAGTGAATACTGGGTCGGCATCGTCGTTTTCCTCCTTTTGGGGGCGCAAGAACTTTCTACCGACGCTCAGGTTATTTATTGACGAGACGCGAATGCAACGACGAGCAACAGAAGACACAGAGAGCTCAATTCGCGGGACTTCGTTGTGAGTGAAAAATTATCTTTGCGTGACCAAAAAATTGAGAAATATGCAAACAAAATATTTAAAGAAATCTTCTGGGTCTGAGTGGGGGGCCGCAACCTGGTAGTTTGCGTGGAAAGCGGATGTTCCAACACGCAGTCATGCATGTGCTTGTAGATGCAGTCAAAATAACCTCATTTGCTTGTAAATGCAGTGAAAGTAACTTTTATGCTTTACAAACACACGCGTCCAGTGTACGTGCTTCACAATAGAACATGAAATATTGCCATAATAATGTGTGGTGCAAGCACAAATGTCACACTTAGAGTTCTTCTTGTAATTGAACAGCTATGCACAAGTCTTGTTGTTTTTCCGTCTACACATATTTAGTTGAGTTTATTTCTTACACCACAAAAACACTAAGTGTTCCGACATATGTATATACATTGCCTATCAACCAATGATCACACAGTTGTATTTGGCTATAAAATTTTCGAATGTACGTTTCTGTATGGTATTGTCACATTCTCCAAGTGAAGTTTTAAAGAGCTTCAGTTTCCCGACAATGGCGAGGCAATTTATGCGAGTGTAAACATTGGAAGTATCATACATAGTAATCCCTGCTGGTAACAACTCATCAAGTATCCAACCTGGCGTATAAACAGAACTCTGGCAGAAAAAAGCACTGCCTATCTGCCGTCTGTTGCTTCACGCCAAGCTTAGCGGTGAGACAGCACGCACAAATGTGTGAACCGTCTGCTGATTCCTGTCAAGATGGGACGTACGCGACCGTGCCCGGCTTATGAAAGTACGCAGTTCCTGCTGGAGTCACACATAGCCCATCCGGGACCACCATATACATTTCGGGCAACGAAACATTCGGGCAGCGTGTTTCCTGTAGGTTTGAGCCACGATTAGAAGCTTCCTTCTCATGCTTTCAGTAGCACATAAACATATACAACGTGCGTGTCAATTTTATTGCATTGGACGTTATATGACGCATCACAGCGACACTGACGCTGACATCAATGACGTTAATGCATCTAGAGTATCCATACTATGGATAATACAACAATAAAGATTTTTTCTTTACTTTGATTGTCAAGTGCTATGATAGACATGGTGATGCTAAAGATGACGTGAAGCAGTCGTCCTTTTTCGCTTCACTGCAATAAGAGACTTTGTGTGAAAAAGCCAGCTCTACGTAAAACAACAGCTGACAGTATTTTGAGTGTCTTCGTGCGTGGAGACTTGAGCAAGCATCGTTACTAATATAACCATTGATATTCACTTCAGTTAGGTGATGTTACTATATTTGTATATTCTAACAGTTAAGGAAAAAAAAAACTCAGGCCTCACGATGAAGACCGCAATCTCCTCGCGCCGAATGAACGCTGATGTTTTTCATGTTCTAGGCTAACAGATTCATTGCACTCACTATCCGCACCAGGAAGAAGGGAAACACCAGAAAACCTTGCTCATGTTCAATATTACTAACATAACAGTTATTTTGCCGTCTTGTTTATTACTGATACCAAAAAATGGATAAATATAGCTACACCGACTCAATAAAGCTGTATGGACCAAACTGAAAGAATGTGTGGCTTAATTAACCGAAAGAATGGGCACATTACGATGCATTTCTGGCTTGTTTGATTTATATAATGTGCATATTTTCTCTGATCACACGTCGGGCTGAGCATAAGAAGAGAATGAGTGGTGGTGGGTGACAATCAGAGTTAGCCATAGTTACGCATGTTTAACTAACACTGAAAGAAGGGCATGTAGCGCGTAGACAGGATAACCGCTGGTCAATAAGAGTAACTAACTGGATTTTCAGAGAAGGCAAGCGGGTTAGGGGGAGAGAGTAGTTTAGGTGGGCAGATGATATTAAGAAGGTGGCGGGTGTAAATTAGCAGCAGAAAGCACAAGAGCGAGTTAACTGGCGGAACATGAGAGAAACCTTTGTCCTGCAGTGGACGTAGTCAGGCTGATTATTACTATTATTATTATTATTATTATTATTATTATTATTATTATTATTATTATTATTATTATTATTATTATTATTATTATTATTAATAATAATATTATTATTATTATTATTATTATTATTATTATTATTATTATTATTATTATTATTATTATTATTATTATTATTATTATTATTATTATTATTATTATTAAGTATCAGTTTTTTATTTACGGCAATTATTGTTTGCACAAATAAATGGCTCAATCCGTAAGATA